CAGGGCTGAGGGGGTAGAGGGCTGTGGGTGGGGAGTGAGGGGCACCAGCCAGGCCAGAGGGCTGTGAGTCAGGAGTAAGGGGCACTGGCAGGGCCAGGGGCTGTGAGTCAAGAATGAGGGGCACAGGTTGGACTGGGGTGCTGTGGGTCCTAAGTGAGGGGCACTAGCAGAGCCAGGGGGCTGTGGGTCAGGAGTGAGGGACAATGGCATGGGCAAGGTACCAGCATATCAGGGCTGCTCAGGACCACAAAGCAGAAGAGGCGGGGAGGCAGCTGCAGCTGGACCTGCATCCTGGTGAATGAACGGGGCAGGGGATGCTCTGATTTTCCATGATAAAATATCCAAAATCAACGTCAAAATTTACAGGTATTTAGAATTTATTTTATCATCGTGATTGAGACACTGGTAGGTTTCCAAATTGCTTTAAATTTGTAAATATATCAATAAAACTGTGTGTTCAGCAGATACCTATATATATAGTAGCATTTAATTTTAATCACAGAAAAAGGCGGATTTGGGGGGTTTTTAACAGACAATTTGCAATTTTTAAACAGGATCCCTGGACACGAGTGAGTACAACACTGGCTAGGATACAGCAACTCATGCAATATCTTGCACTGTGGGTGTACATTGCTCACCTATACTAACCTGGTTGGTCTCAAGATCATCCATGTTAACTCCACAGTGAAGACAGGCTTTTAAAGATCATGTTTAAGGTCTCACTTGCATTTCTAAAGAGAGCTGCATGGCAACTAAGTGTGGGGGTCATTATCTAGTAACTAGGGACCTCATCTACAAAGATATTTAGGCACATAATTCCTATTCAGGCATCTAAACACCCACTGATTTTAACAGAGCTCTAGCTCCCTTGTCCGAGCTGTGACTGCAGTCTAGATCATCCTTTTATGGAGGTAAGAACTTCTGGGGAAGAGTCTGTGGGGATGAGATACTGTATTGGACTTCCTCTGAAACATCCCATCCCCAGCAGAGCAGGACAAATCTATTGCTATGGATCAATGGGCATGACATGATACAGCATGTTTGTGCGCAATATGACCAATCATTATATTATTACTGGTGTTCCTACTATGTTTTATTTATACTATAGCATAGTAGTGCTTAAAGGGCCCAATCAGAATGGCAGTTACAGGGATATAAAAAAAGCCTCTGTCCTGAAGAACCATAGGCTGTATATAGGGGTGCAGACAGTAACTGAGAACACTTTACAGGAAGCAGTCTGCATTATAACAATCTCCCAGACCAAACAGAAGTTCATTGCTGGTTCTAGGGGGGAGAGGAATCCAGCTGCTGGCTGGGAGCCTGCAGCCAGTTTCTCCTAGCAATGGCCCCTCCTCCCTGCCAGCTCCCTGCCAAATGTGCTGTTTTCAGAATGAGACGGGGAAAGGGAGCAGAGGGAGCTCATTCTAGGGGCTCCCCAGCCAGCACTAGAGGGTGAATTAAAGCCCCCCCCCACCTCAGGGTCTGAAAAAAATGAACTTCCTCCACTCCCTTTCCCACCTCCCATTCTGAAATCAGCTTGGAGGCTGGCAGGCAGGTAGGCACAAATTACAGAAGATGCTGTTTTCAAACATCTTCATCTGAACCCTTATGCAATGAGGGTTCAAATTTTCACCCGATTGGCCATTTTTAAGTGGTCTGTAGCTGTGCACATGTTTGGTTATGGCTATACACTGCTTTCTGTGGCCAGATCCAGCAAAAATTGCCATTTCTGTCTGCGCCCTAGATGTCTCATTTGATGCAGGGTTTTTGGTCCCAAGGCTTGACCACGATCAAAACAAATATTGCACAGGCATTTGTATATGATGCCCCTCCTAGCTGCTTTGCTGCTGTCTGCCAGTGAAAGCACACACCTTGGCCTGCTTGTCCCAGGAGAAAGTGCAACTTTACAGATGCACATAGCCATGTCCTGGGAAAAATCATCAGCAAATTTTATCCTGCATATGTGAAGGGACTTGAAGCAGCATAGTGGAACTGTACATCTGCAGGATCCTGGGACAAACACGATATCTTACAGTCTTGCAAATGACAAGATGCGACAGGATATAGAAGAAAAGGAAAGGGAAGAAAAGGAGGCAAAGGTCACAGCAGGAAAGGAAAAGCTTGAATTATTATACAGTACAGTACACAATACAGACAGTGGAGTTTGTTTATGAAATTAAAGAGGCCAGACATTATAGTGTTATACTAGTAAGCCAGTCTTTCTGGTATACAGGTATCTGCTGCCTGTCAGTCTGACTGAAAAATACTTTTAAACACATAAGCCCACAATAGAATTGGCATTCAAAAACATAGTTCAAATGCAAACATTGAGCAAAATCTGTACTAAAGGGGCCCCTTTTACTTAAACTCATTATATTTGCCAACTGTGTAGATCTGTGTAAAAATGTTAGTTTGGGTGAAGGGCAGGTTTTCAGGCAAAGTTCTGTTATAACAGTGCTGATTTTGACCATCGGTTCGTCAGTGCAGTTAGATCAAGGATGGAGGAAGTCTTACCAATGTAATACTAGTAATTTCAGTTCAGAGCCTGTTGAATTTGTCATGTTCACTAAGCTGAACCTCAAGAACCCTAGCAAACATTGCACAAAATAATTTTGATGCTGGTTATTGCAAGTACAGGCTGGCCCTGAAAGTACAAGTTAGGGTGTATTGGAAGTTTAATGCAAATTTGCATTCTTCCCTACAGCACTGCTGGTATTTAGTCACACCTATGGACTTGGTAGGCTGCTCAGTTTACAAAGTGAAGCAATTATCTACCAATGCAAGGATGCACATATTAGGCCTCTTCATGGCTCAGCAAGCAGCTCAGTGCTTATGGCCCTAATGGATACTTATCACCCCCCTCTCTGCTCCCCCCCCTTTGAGATCCACCATAAGATACCTAATAAACAGGTACAGAAATGAATGCAGAACAATGTTTCTGATGTGGGGACCTTCCTCTGCCTCTAGACCCAAAGGGAGAGAGGTGAAGAGTGGTAGGGGCATGAGGCAAAAGGAACCAGCTAACTAGAGCACTCCTGCCCCCTTGTGCAGTACAAAGAGAGGAAGCCTGGATAAAAGCTACTGAGAGCAATGGCTTCTAGAAGCCAGGTGAAGATTGAGCTTTCCTTCCCTTATGACAGCTGAAGTAGAGGGAAGAAATGGGAAGATCTTTTCACAGCTGGCTCCCCACCTTCTCACTGGCTGAGAGGCAGTTTATCAGCATATGGAGACAACAGAAATGCATGCTCATCGCATATTGATTACTGGGCTAAGCACTGGAAAGATAGAGGGGGAAGACAGGGTAAATGGCCTCCTCTAAGCCATTTGATATAGTTTCTTTCAACCCTGTAACTGAAGCAGCTTTGAGCAAGAACTGGCAGATCTCTGCACCATTGGTTCCTCTGACCCTGCCCATCTACCATCTACAAGGGTTCTGTAGCAGTCCCTGCCAACCTGAGCTGTGCCAGGGATTTGTATGTGTGGCTTTCCTCCCCTGTGCTATGGAAACAAGGTTGGCTACACAATCTGGGAATCCAGAGGAGGGAGCTTGATCTGCCCAGTGATTTCATAGACATCAGGGCTGGAAGGGACCTTGGAAGATCATTGAGTCCAGCCCCCTGACCGAAGGGCAGGAAGTCAGCTGGGGTCATAGGATCCCAGCAAGATAAGCATCCAATTTACTCTTGAAGGTCAAGAGGTGCAGATGCATAGGTGCAAACTCCACTAATGTGCCTTGAGATACGAGTTCCAGCTGGGAAAGGCTTACTAGGAAGACAAAAAAAAGCAAATGTATGTGAGAAAGCAGCTCAGACAACCGAAAGAAGACGACTAGGCAGATGGAAGAAAACATCTTCAGGAGTATTAATAGCCTGTCTAGCCCTCGATTACCACTGAACTTCACCACTGGTGGTTTAGTTTAAAGGTAAACTGCAAATAAAATCTTACTATGAATGTGGAAGACGAAGAGAGAGTGAAAGTGAGCATGTATATACACACAAGCATCCTTTCCTTCATCCATCACAAGTTCTCAGCTGTTTTTTGGGGTCCTTCAATGCTGATAGTTAAGTGGAAAGTCTCCTTTAACATAGATGGGAGGCAGCTGTGATTCTGGAGCAGGAGAATCTCAGTTTTATCACTACTTGTGCTGTTAAGTTCCAAATCGGTACAGTATACAGCACAGTTGTATTTCACTGGCTAAAAATTATCTTCAGCAGTGGTTTTCAACCTGTGGTCTGAAGACCCTGGAGGGTCTGGTTAAATGACCCCTGGGGGGGTCCATGAAAAATGACAATGATCAATCAAAAGTATGTGAATTCCCACACTTACAATTAAAAGGGGTCCACACCTCCATTCAAAATTTGTAGGGGTCCACAAATGAATAAAGATTGAAAACCATGATTTATAGAATCAAATTCCATCTACTGCAGCAGTAATCACCTGTACACAGGCTAGGCTATTTATCACATTGCTACCTGGCATTTTAACTTTTTACCTCCCATATTATATTGGCATGCAAGAGTTCTGCTAGGCTACCCCTGGCCTTATCAGCATATTCAGCTACCCGAGATCCTTGGGATGGGCACATCTTGCTAAGATAGAGAGAATTTAATTTAGTTTTTGCTATTCATTTCGGTGGTAAAAATAACATAGTTCAAGCATACTGACTTACTTGAGTTGGACCTGCTTCGTGGCTTGCCCTCCGAGTTTGGGAGAGAAGTCTGTATCACAAGCTGTATTGACTTCAATTCATCCTGTGCTTTTATTTTGCTCCATTGAATTGCTTGGATGTGTCTTGTGATTTTGGGGGTTCTAACATCACTCTGTTCAAGAAACAACAGAACATGGTGACTGTGTGGGACTCTATCCAAATAACATGTCAAGTCAAGGAATTTCCCAAACTAATTTGAAACAAAGGAATATAAACCAGAGGAGCCACTTATCCAGAGTCTTAAAAACTGCCCACTCTAGCCTTTTCACACACCAGAGCCCAAAAGCACTTCAGGAAAACAAAACCAAAAGCACCTAGATTGTGCCAGAGGTAAAAGGAAGGAAGCCAAGAGTACTGACAAAACATTGGCAAAAATGTTTTGAGCTAAATATATGCCCTGATGGCCCTGCCTATTTGTATAAGGGATTTGTTTACCAAAAGTATCCAATGGGATCTCTCATAGTTTTAGAATTCTGAGGATTTGGAATAACAGCATTCTGACTGTGTCCAAAATGTTACGAATCATTGCTCTTTCAGTTCCTGTATTGCACAAGGGCACGGATTTTACAACATATATTTTTTACTAATGGCCAAATCAAGTTGTACATCAAGTAAATAGCCTTTCTTGCTGAAAGAGCTAAGCACTAGGCAGATATTTTTGCAGGGGTTCCCCTCATGGTAACTTTTCTGCCATAGCAAGTTCTTTAATCCTGCAGTCAGTCCCTGTGACTCCTGTGAGGAACTACAGGCTGAAAGGAACCTGGGGTTATTCTTCCTGCAAGAGAAAACCACTGTTCTTCACTTCTGAGGCAAGCAAACAAGGTCCAGAATTTTCCTATTCACTGCTTGAATCCATACCTCAGGACAGAGCTGAATTTCAATTATTGGCCTCAGTGTGAAGCTGGTTTTTATAAAGCACTTTTGTAAGTAACCAAAACCTTTTTATATAAAGGCTAATTTCTGTCACATTAAACATTGCTAAATTGTCTCCAGATTGTATTTTGTTTCTTTTCATTTCTTGTATCATCTCTTCCTCCTCCTGTTATTTCTCAGCTCTGCTAATTAGCACTGTATCAGAAAAAAGGTAAGAAACATGGTTTCTTCAACTAACAAGTGCAAAACTGACCATTCCTTCAAGTAAAAGGAATTTTCTTACTTTAGGAAGATTGTTGTCCCAGTCAGGAGTCTCAGCACACAAACTCTGCAAATATTATTCACATTTTCATCAGAAATTGAGATTTTTTTTAATGAATTACAATGTTGGGCCTTGATGGCAGTACATGGTACAGTCCATCCATGCTACTGGTAGCTCTATGGAAAATATACTGTAAGTTTTAACTTGGATAAGTTACCTCATATGTAATGATATATTCTATAGTTTGTTTTTTTTCTATTCCCACAATCCATTTTTCCATTACAAACGGTGGCTGGAAAAAAACAACAATATAATATTAGAGTTTATTAATTTGCCTGTTTTACTCTTTATTATTCCTTGAAATACACTGCTAAAACTTAAAAAAAAAATTCTTTCCTTACAGATTTTTTTTTCTTTTTTCTATGTGTCCATGTGACAAAGTAATTTTTTCCTTATATTTTATGGGAATTAAATCAATAGAATTCAGAATTGTCTGCTCCCCTGTTTGCACAACACCTTCATTGTGGCAATTAGCAGTAATATGCGTATGCTTAAAATGGTATCCTTAGGTATTTGCTTTCAAAGGGGAGCAAAAAAGGACATAAGAACATTGAGTTTATTAAAAATGTTTTTGGTGGCAAAGTTTTAAAAACCAACAAGAACAAGAAAAAATACTTAAGATGCCTGAAGACATTCTCTTCCAGATGTGAAAGTGTGTCAACTCTTAAGCTGACTGTACCTGATTATCTTTTAATTTAATTTTTACTACTGATAACATTTTAACAAAAAAGTATGCAAAGATCAAAGCCCCAAGAAATTAAATGCAAAAATGTGTCTTAAGACAGAAAATACAAAAGAAACAGATCATAACACTAAAAGTTCCAGAGCTCTGGGGCTACGTGATGAGAACAACAAAATAAGTATGAATTGGAATGGAGAATTCTGTGTAGTAAGCCCTTCATAGTAACACCACATTTTGTTACATTATTTGCTTTTATTTTCCCCTCTGAGGGCCTGGATCAGGCAGTTTTTCCTTATATGTAATATCAGTGAAGGCAGAGTTTGGAAGGAATGTGTAGTTAAAGCCGTTCATGAGAGTTTTTCCATCAGGACACATTAGAGGGGCAGTCTGGCAATCAGAAGGTTGTACATTTCTTTATTTAGAAATGTGTATTGTTGCCCCTGGCAAAGTAGCCATGGTAGGGCGCATTAATTAAAACAATGATATTAGCAAGAGACAGAACATCCTGCCTATTAACAAAACTCCCAACTCCTGCCAAGATACTGTCCAGTATAGTACTCAGGGGCAGATTCTGAGAGCGGGTAAAACTGCCCAATGGCATCAAGCTGAAAATGTTCAATAATTTATTGCCAGTGCTCAAGACCTTGCTGAGTTCTAATGTGGAATGCATCTCACTATCAACTCCATTTTTCTGCCACTCTCCCCCATCTTCTTAATAAAACTTTGTCTTTGTACAGTCCTAATAGGTGCTGAGGAAGAACACTGAAGTTAAAGGCCGTTATTGATCCTTACTGTGACTTTTCTGTGCATTGTCTGCTGAATTCAGTAGTGATGTCTTTTTGGAATCAAAGTTCCTTATTTTGCACTGAACTCTGATGTTGGTAGTAACATTGTTCTTTAAGCTCCTATTACAAGAGAGCCAACATTTCTAACCAAGTCAAAGTTTTGGAAAAATACAACTATCATATAAAAACTTCATTAACTGCAACAATTTCATCACCTGTATTTTTTCTCTCTTTAAAATATATAAAAACAGAAAAAATAAAATTGAGATTGAAGAAAATATTTTAAAAACATTTTCTTTTCACATCACATTACCATTACATTACATGATCCTTAGCTGGATAGCTTTTTTTTACAATTCTCTTTTATTATACAAATCTGCTTTAAAATGTGCATTTTTTAAAAAAGCCGTCAAGAGACTGAACTTCCACAAGCACAAGTCTACTGCTGTGGTATTTTAATGTCTTTGTTTGAGTTCTATGAACTCATGAAAGATGTAAACCTGTAAATAGAAATGACCTACCTTTGTCATCTTTAAAATCTCTGCATCTGGTAAGTTAGTGTTGAATGTCACATCTTTTATGTAGGTTATTGCAATTTCATCCCCATCCATCTCCATGTACATTTTCCACTTGCAGTCCTAGTCATAAAAGAGGATAGAATTTTAGAATGCAAAGGGGGGGAAACCCCCCCAAATCAGCAAAGTCCTATATGTATTACAACTATCAGAGGTTTGGAATAAATTCTTACTACATTCCTTTTTAGGAGAAAAGTATCCAAAAGGAAAACCTTTGATTCGCTTAGCAGCACTCCTATTAGCTTTCATCCAAGAAACAGTTGTTATGTTGATACCATGTTCTGTTTTCTGAAATGGTATGATTTATTCTAAAGTACGAAGGAAGACAGTGTAAGTATACATTCTTTCCAGTGTAAGTATACATTCTTTCACAGGTAAATACTGTTTCAGATGCAGACTTCAGTGATTTCCAAAAGCAAGTAGAGGCAGAATAACCGGGCAGCAGTAAGAAGCTAAATTAACTGGGAATAAAGCTGATAAGGCCAGCAAGCCCCAAGGATTTCTTCCTAGTGAATCCAAGAATAAATGATCACAGGGTCTGAAAAATGCTGGTAAGACTACTACTCAAATAAAGAGGCCACAGAAAGAGTATTATACCCGACATACCCAAAATACTGAGTACCCTCAATTCCTGTTATTTTCACCTGGAGTTGCTGAAGATAAATTTCAGCATTTATTATCAAATAACAGCTCTCATCTTGCAAAGTACTTAAGTGCATGCTTAAACAGTCCTTTGGGTTAAATTGAGGTCAATAGTAGGACCGAGTCTTTTGCCTCCTACAAAGCACAGACTACTCTGAGCCTGATCCAGCAGAACACTTACAGGCTTAGAGTTAAGCCCGTGATTTCATTATACCCACTGACCTCATCTAGGGGACTTTTAATTGACAGAAAGAATAGTTTATTTGAGTTTTTTTACTGATAAGTGGACACAGCAGGGAGACTGGGCATCAGGAGACAAGGGACATCTGAGTGCCCAACAGCTTCTATTGATTTCAGTGGGACTTGCTGAATACTGATCACGGCTAAAAACTGGCCCCTTCATTTACAACTTTGAGATCTTTTTAAAACCCAGTCCTTTATCTGGCCATGCGGCTCTGATGCTAAACTGCCACATGACCTTTGGCAAGCATCTATGCCTCAATTCTCCATGTTCATAATCGGGTGGCAGCACTTGGAACCAGGAGTGTTGCACATGACTTTGGGAAGATCTAGTCTATTGTTTGCCAAGTACTTTCAGATCCTTGACTGGAAAATGCTCTTTCATTAGTGTTATTACTGGCTTGAAATAATTCTCATGTCCATCATGTTCAAGGCATGCAGAAACTTGAATGGAGACAGATGGGCATGTAGAGCAAATTCTTGCACAAGCATTTATGTGCACAAACAGATGGATAGGTACATAAAATGCATCTATTTGTGCATGCAGATATCTGCTTCTGAGTGCACATACATTACTCATATGCAGAGTAGGTGCTGAGCCCTCAAAAGTCTCAAAACTTTCACTCGCACACTGAATGAGAAATTGTAACTTAAAAGAAATCCAGATTTTAATAGTTTTGGAACCTCAGCTCTGTAGCAGCAAAAGCTGCTTATGCAAGCACATGGCCCTAAATGTCCATCTGTTTCTGTATTTTACAAACATGGTTGATGTGAGTGTTAATTTAAGCAACACCACAATGACTAGTAGAGCAGGGGCAAATATATATTTTTTATGGTTGTGATATTGGACTTAGATATAGGAGATTTGAATTCAATTGCCATCTCTGCAACAAGCTTCATATATATGCTCTAGGTAAGTAATTCAGGGCCAGATGCAAAAAAATGTTATTAGGCACCTAACCTCCCATTGATTTAGGCATTTATATAGGTGATGGGCACTTAAATATCCTTTTGGATACTTCTGTGCCTCACTTCCCTAAAAGCAGGTAACATAAAATGTTGTGGTTTTGGATCACAAGCATCCTGTCTTTCTGCTTTGTCTCTTTAGATTGTTACTGTGTAAGAACATAGGACTGGAAGGGACCACCTGACTCAGTCCCCAACAACTGGAAACAATATGAATTAACAGTGCTTAGCATAACATGGCCCTGAACTCAGATGTTATTGCAATCCAAGTACACAATAGCAGAATGAGTCATCTATTTAATATGATTTTTACTCCCTGCAATATTGTTCTTATTCCATGCATTTCAGACTGTACCTATAAAATCCTCCATGGTTTTATGGTGAGTAGAGTTTTCACAGAACTTCATAAATATAAGAAATGCTTCCTACCCTGCCAATCAGGTAGCATGGCTTCTCGGTTGTAGCATTCATGCTGCTGTCATTTATTTATGTCCAATAACATTTAATTAGAAAGTAAAATAATACATTCACATAATATCAACTTAATATTGTCTTTTAGCAAGAAGAGTTCTTTGCAAAAGCACTTTAAATAACTTTATTTTCTACTTCGCACTAAAGAATCTTCTTTCAGAATACCTCTGCTTTGGAAATCAGTATTTCGTGCTGGATCAGTGAAGCCAGACCAAATCAGACAAACCAAGTTGTTTTAAGAAATTATGTGAATTATTATGGAAGGTGTCCTGTCTCTTGGTTCCAAAGAAAAATCTACCATCATTTTGTAAGACTATAAATCTGTCAACTCCCAGTATATTCAGCACTATACTGGATCAGGCCCACTGAAACAAGCTCTTTGATTTGGTCTGGAAAGAACCATTTTGCCACATGTGGACTGTGTGCTACAGGCCAGAGATGCTAAAAGAGTGAGTTAAGGCACTAAATCTCCCCTCTAGGGTCTCTGGAAAATAACCATCTTATTCTATCCAAGGATTATTCCTATTTCATCTTTTAAAATACTCCTAAAATAGGTTGGCTTTGTGAACAATATACTTGCAGGATATAGTGAGATGACTTAGCTGGACAGGTATTTTATTTAAATGCATGCTAACCATTTTGTTTAGACAGATGGTAGTAACACCTGCTTTTGATATTTAAAGAAGTTAGACAATACCACTGCTATACTTTTCCTTATTAACAAACTGGTTTTGATGCAGCAAAGAATATAAAGATGCACTTAATCCAACTCTGTTCTGTTCAACTCTGTAACCAAATAAGTACAGGTTTATTTTATTCAGTGGAGCTACACCATGCGCAAAAGTTCTTTGGTAAATTGGAGGCATAGGATTTCTTAGATGAACGTGACATTCACTGTCAGGATAAAATGGAAATTTCACTTATGTTGTAAAAAACGTTTTATTAAAAATATTCAGCTTAAATATATTTATGCAATGTCCTCCATAAAGGAGTTTTTCAAAAATACACATAACCAAAAAATTGTCCTTCCGGGTTTGATTGCAATAAATAAAGCAAATTTAAGTTTTGGATTATGCAGAAACAGCGAGTTGCTTATCTATGAGGCATAAATACTACAACTCTGAGTGCAAATAAGCTCTGAATTGGATTCAGAACAAGCCAGTAAATCAGCAATCCCTGAAAATGGTTGTAGGACTAGAAGAGAATAGCACATAATAAGAGTATTCCAACCCAGAGTTACTCAGATCCAGGCTACCAAATTAGAATACTTCAAAAATTAGAGCTTCTGTTTATTTTGGTCATTATATTCCCAGAAAACCTACAACTCTTAATATCAGTAACAAACAGTGAAAAGAAAAGGAAATAAAAGGAGACCATCAGCACTATGCTTTAAGTAACAAAACACACCTCACAAAATAACAAGTTAAAACACTCTCTGGGGAGTGATCTCATTCTTCAAGGAGGCCTGAATTTAGGCTTCACTTTTAAATAAATGGTTGCAATAAACTTTTTTATTTATTTATTTTTTAAGATTCAAGGAAAAATGGAACCAGCATCCTAGCAGGCAACTGGATATTGAAAAACGTCAGATGTAATGCAAGATGAAACAAATAGGGAAAAAATGCTGGTCATGCTGGTATTAAAAGTAGTAGCATGTTGATGATCTAGGCCCCCAGTAGCTCCTTTACATTCTTAGCTATTATCTATCTCAGCTGCTGAAACCTGCTGTTTTAAAGTCATGAGAGTTGAACATCTAGTAATAGCACTTGGGTTATTTATCATTATGTATAACCCTGCTACACTATATTTTATTATGCTGGATTTAAAGGAAGATAACACAATTATGGTTAATTTGCTTCTCTTCTTTATATATATAGTGTCATGACCCACCACCGCTTTGTCCCATGAGATATTTTTAACCAAAAAGAAATCCACAAGAAACTCTCCCTAAAAATTCCATTAATAACCTCTTGTAGCGTGTATAGGTTGCAGGGTCTGGAACTAAGAATGTTTTAATCTCTTCAGCAAAACAATGTCTCATAATGATGTACAGGACTATTGCTGCACTGATGAAGAATCATACATAATTCAGCACCTTTCACTTGGCACCACTGTGATATCCTCATTAGTAGTGGCTCACAGTGGCTGTCAGATGGTGTCCATGCGAATGCAGGCATTATATTGTCTTTGAGATGTGCAGCTGCTTCCATGACACTGCCAGTATATAAAAACATGACGCCAGTTTGTTTTATTTAGTGCTAAACCTTCCAGTTTGTAAAAACAAGGCTGACACAGAGCCTGACATGAGGCAGTGAAAATAATTAGCTCTCATTTTCTCAGCCTCCTATTTCCTTCTCCCTGCTGTGTTCTCTTTCCACTAAACCACCACATGTCAGTCGAAATGGGAGGCAATTAGTGGGCTCATTTCAGTCCCCACAACTGTGCTGAAAAGAAAGTATTTATGATGGCACAATGAACAGCTGAAAGATTAAATAACATTTGCCTTTTGAAAAGAAAATGACTTCTAGCTAAATGGGCAATTTTTGATTATTCTCAAACAAGCTTAGAGTAGTTGGTTTTTAAAATACAAGAAAGGAAAATGAGTCATTTTTAGGTGAAAGAATCAAATAAAACTTGACACAGTAATGCAAATAACTGATGTTTTATTGCAAAATATGTAAATGTGTTATACCCTTAACAATGCCTTGTGTCTCAGGTCAGGGCAGATTGTTGCCAACTAGACA